ACTTTATTTCCCAGATAGCTTAAGAACATTTACTGCAATTCAGACCTTGTATATGAGCTGGGTATAAAGTCTTCCATTCAAATTCCTGATCTCAAAAGGAATTCAATGTTTTCTGTAATCAGTGAAGGCCAGTTTACAGGGTTCCTAGAAAGTTCTGTGAGATTAATTTGGTACAGCAAATAATGCCACAGAAGACTTTCTGAGTAACAGTCGAGGACTTTTCACCATGTTTGTTTTAGCTGTTAAGCACTATGCAGTGCACAAGCTCTGGGATTATTTCAGATTTGATCCTTGCTTTGATTCTTAGTTTTTTGGATTCAGGTAAAAACATTCATTTTGAGAAACAAAAAAATACATGGCAATTGCAGATTTTAAGTAATTTTAATGCACTATATATTAATAGTCTTTACCTGAATTAGCAGAAACACATCATCCTGAATAAACTTCCCTAACGAAGAGCTCTGTTACACCACACAATTTTTTTAATCAATACTTTTTCTGAGACTTCAAAACATTTTCTACTTAAAGTATATCAAGAAGACTCATTTTAGTGAATTACAAGATTTGTTTCTTGTATTTCAGTTACACTGTGAATTCGTTGTTAAAGAACAAAAGAGTTACAGCACTTAGTGTTAGTCATATATATCACAACTCTTTTGGGGTTTTATTTTTTATTAGAAACTTAACAGCCATTTCAACATTCATTTTTGCTCAGGTTATTCATAGAGCTTAAATACTGACAGCAAGACAAAATGATCAACAGCAACAACCAATAGGAAAAAAATCAAATGACAGTCACATTGCTGGTAAACCAGCAGACAAACTTTAAACACATTAAAACAATATTTCTGAGAAAGCAGCAGAAATTATTCTGGTAACACTGAATTACTCCTCAAAGTTTTGGTATACAATCAAAATAAAACTGAAACAGACAAATGCAATTTTGATAATTTGCAAGAAACGTTTTCCTTACCTACTGTGCATATATATATATATATATACACACACACACATACACACACACACACATATTTCAATGTTTTTCCTAAATACTGGGTACCTGTATACCGTGTGTCTCATCCTATTACACTTTTTATACCACTGGAACATTTTCAAAGCAGCTTTTATGTTTTAAGACTGAAAGTCAAGTAAAAGTGAATCGGTCTTCTAACAAAAAATGTTTCCCCTCAAATGCCACAATGGACACAGATTTCATGCTACAATTCCACTGGGCTGACTGAAAGGTTATTTTCTTCTGCCTAACATTCAGCACTGGTTCAAGCAGACACACTCAAATATTACAACAAAAATAATAATAACACTTAATATTTATTTCACACTCTTCATAATAAAACAATGCTAATTTTAACCGAACAATTCTTTCCAAGCTCTGTTATACCTTCTCTAAATTTCACATCCTGTATTGGTACACATTCTGATTGCTAACTGTGCTGAGCAGCTAAATGACAAGATGAAAAGACAGTACAAGAGTAAATGAGGAGTAAAAAATATAAGAGAATAGGAAGAATGACAAAAGAAGAATGCTAGGGGTGAGTGTGTTTAAACTTGTGTATGTATACACACATTGTAAGAAGAGTATTTATAGAGAACTATAAACAGAAAACATGGTGAGCAAATGACAACTTTTTTTCAATTTTTCAACTTGTTTCTCCTTTTTTTTTTCAAACAGATAAAGTTACTGAAAGTAAATAGAAAGGAATGAACAGTACCAAAGGTAACCAAAGGAGTCCAAAGAAAACAGAGAAAGTAAAGAGGAGTGAAAAGTAAAGAGGAGAAAAAGACTGGGACAAAAGCTGTTAAGAAAATATAAGAAACTGCAGAGACAGAGCAGCAAAAATGTTAGTAATGAAAAAAAGCTACAACAGAAGAAATCCCCATCCAAAAAACCCCACCCGCCCTCCCAAATATGGAAGAAAAGCAAAAGTATGAGAACTCACAGCTATCTGAGTAAAAGTCTCTCTCACCCACTGATTCTGTTACTCTGCTCTAATCCACCACGTGGGGCCACACCAGAAACCAGCACAACTTTCTACACAACCTTCCCCAGTGGTTCCTACGCCCCTTGAGCACAGTTCACACTCCTGGTCACGTAGCTCTTATCCACCACATGGTATCTTCAAATGTTCTTTAAATAAACCTAAGTGCAAGTACAGTCAGCTCCTACAAACTTAACTGTTTAGAAGGCAACTTTTTCAAGAAGCAATTCCCCGGCAGTTGTCAGCAACCTTTCCTTCACAATTCTCTTTCACTTTTTTCTACAGAGTTACCTCTCTGTCCTAGATTTTGTACTTGGATGCAGCAGTTGCTTTGATTTGGAGGTGTCTCAGTATAGTAAAGTCACCCATCTTGTATTAGAAATAGGACTTCCTATCACAAAGAAAAGAAATGACAGAGGAAAATCGGACAGCACAGGCACATGCAAGTTTAGAAGCTACATTTAAGAAGTTTGTGCTTGCTTGCAAAGGATTAACAAGATTAAAGCCAAGCTCAGTTTTCTAGATGTAGCAAATCAGTATCCTTACATTAATCACAGTTGTGATATGAGCTGGTACCAACTCTCTGACTTCTCTGTTTATTATTGCTCACTTTCTCAGCTCCCTCTTTTCATTCCATGCTTTTATTCCTACCTCTCTACTTTCTGAAAGGGTGCCTCACTTTTCCATTACATGCTTTTCTCTTTCTTGTTCTCTTTTTTATCTTGAAAGATACTTTAACTGCTGTATACCACCATTTCTGCTAAAAACTAATACGAACACAGCTAAAAACCAAGAATCCTGGTGGAACAGAGGTTAGCACCATCCACACTGACTGGGAATGGCACTGACTGGTAAGCACTCACTGAAAACCCAGCTGCAACCAACTCTGAAACTAAACAGTACAATGAAGCACTTCCAGGAGGTCCCTCGCCCTTCTTCTCTTCTATTCTCTCATCTGTAACTGTATTGGAAAACCACCATTGCAATGGCCAAACTTCTATGCAACTTAAAGAATTCCAGCCTCAGTGACTAGTCAGTGGTTTAGTCCCAGATGTGAGGGACTAAATGGTGACTTACTGTTCTACCTCTTCCTTCCCATGCAGGTAAGTACCGGGCCGACGCAGTGCTGGGAAGCTGCACTGCATCCCCGGGATATGGATACTTATGGATATTAAAAGACAACAGTTACGCTCACCTTCAATTTAAATTCACAGACCTTGCTCTACAATTACTGTTTGAAAAACAATGAGTATATCTTAGGTTTACACATCAGGTTTTGCATTTCTAACATGGCAAGCCTCCGTGCTGAAGTTCTGTCTCACAAACAGAGCACCAGGAGAACAACTCCCCCAACAGAAATAGAATTTTATCAGTACTAAGGAAGTACTAAGGAAGCTTTCTCCTATAATAAGAGATTAGGATTGGTGTAACAGCATAAGGCACTTCTAAACCTACTGTTCAGGTGTAACATAGGATCTACTTTATACCGTTTAAAAATTACTTCAAAATGTATGTAGACTATCGTTTGTACTAGGGTTATTTATCCTATCAATGCATTTTGCTCACAAATTCCCAAGATGATACAATTTTTAACCTAAAAAAGTCTTATTCCTCTTAACATAAAATGATAGACCTCTTAACATAAAAATCAGACCTTCCCGATGCAGTCATCATCACTTTGTATAAGAAGAAAGGAATTAAATCAGACTGTTCAAATTACCGTGGTATTACTCTGCTCTCCATTGCTGGCAAAATCCTGGCAAGAATACTTTTGAACAGACTAATGCTCGCCCGCTATAGCTACACATACATGCAAAAAAACATTCACATACAGAAATACAAACAAAAATGGAATTACCTAGTGAAACAGTTTATGCTATCTCTGTTTAAATCACATCATTCCAAAGTACAACAACATAGAACATCTTTCCTAAATTATGTTTTCCAGTTACAAAATGCAAGTAGTGAATAAAAGGATGCTTTTTGGTGGTTTTTAGCTAACCACAGAGCTGGTAAATCACTCCTATACAAGGCACTTTGAGGACATTTGTCATAGAGTTGCAATGTCCGTACTAAGGCAACACATCCAAGGAGTTGGCAGCCATGCTATCAGCAAGAATTTGGCTACAGAAACAGCAATGATTCATCATGCATTCTAGGAGCACTGTCAAAACAGCAAAGCAACACACTGCTATTTTTAATCCTTCAGAAGTAACAAGAGTTTTAAAAAACAATCATAAATTTGTTGCAAAACCAAAACAAGTAAAAACCCCCATAGTTCTAATAATGCATTTGGAAGTGCATCTTTATTTATTTTTTATTCAAATTTTTCCCTCAGAGGACAGAAAACAGCTATTTAGTTAAAATATCAGCTAATTACTTACCTCTCTACATTGCAAGAACAAGTCTCTCATAATAGCTTAATCAAAATCGCTGGTTAAAAATAGTTCAAATTTAGTTGCATTCAGGTTTAAGAATCTTCTGTAGTAATTTTTAAAATAACTTTCTAGACACATCGACATTAACTGAAATCTGTACTGCAAATAGATGACTTTCAAACTCACACTCTGAATGAAGTCAACAAGCATAGTCTGAATATTTGTTTCAACATACACATCACATCTATCATCGTCCGAATATCCACCATGAAAACTGTTTCTCAGCTACCAGTATCCAAAAATAGTGGTGCAGGTCCTGTTAAAAGCTCTCAAGTGCTATATTTCTCTGATGAAAGCACTCTTCTCTTTCTTCCTCAGAATGGTCCAGTTAAATATAATTATAGGAAAATTTTGTCTTCTAAACTAACAATCTGAAAAGATTGTTAAATTCTTGCCATTGTAACTATAGAGTGACTGTGAAACTATCTGTAACACCCTTTTTTATTATCACCTTGTTGAAGACGGTAAATAACATCGCTATAGAGCTTAAGGAGGCGTAATCGGAAAGCATTTCGGATCTGCTGCCCTTTGTCCCATTACCCAAACAGACATCGTGATCGCTTACCTTCTGGAAAATTACTTCATCCTGTTTTCTTTTCTTTTTGCTGCTTTTTCTGACCCTCTGGTTTGTCTGAATCCATTTTGTGACCTGGAGTTCAAAATCATGGTGCTTTTTTAGGAAGAAGACACAACCTGAGTGCAGCTATTCAGCATTGGTAAAAAGCTATAAGAGACTCAAGACAATTTTTTTAATTGCTTCACTGGATAGGGAAGAACACTTTTTCCATACAGAGTGGCATGGTCTTAGGCAATCTGTTTAGTTACTTGTGCACTGACCAAGCGCGAGGTGGTGTTCTTCATCTCAGAGCTTTCAGTTTAAGGTTTTTTGCACAAAGAACGTATTTGATGCCAGGCCAGGTTGCCAAATGGAAAGTTATCACTGCAGCGTGCAAAAATCCTGGGCAAAATCTCTGCGTTTTATCCCATACACCGTCTAGTTCAAGTAGAGATTTATTTCCAGCCACTCACTCGAACGTTGTTCCAGATTAACAACGTCAAATTTGGCTGGTGGGGTTCTCATTATTTCATAGAGCAATGACACTTGGGGTTTTTTGCCCCTACAAATATTTTTATACTTAATACGGAAGCAATTATTTTTTAAAGCAAAAGCGTGGCGGGCTGGGGGTGGTGAGTCAGGTGGAAAACTCCAGGAGCAAATCTGCAAGGGTAAGAAGCGAGGTGCAATGTACGGCCGCGAAAGGTTCCCTCCTCACCTCGCCGCGCACTTGCCGGACGAGCTGACACTCCTTCCACGTCTCGACCTCCTCCAGCAGGGGCTACACGGGGGAGAAAGCGCAGGTTGAGGCGGGCTCGGGTCCCCGCTCTGCGGCCACGGAGAGCGCCGGCAGAGCCCGGTCCGCCGGCACAGCCCCCGCCCGGCCCCGGCGGCTCCCGGAGCCGCGCCCGCCCCGTGCCGAGCTGGGCCGAGCCGTGCGGAGCCATCCCGGGCCGGGCCATCCCCGCTCCCGCCTCGGCAGCGGCACCGCGCAGCCCTGGTAGGAAATGAAACACCTCGGCGGGGTCCCGGAGCCCCGCGGGGAGGAGGAGCCTCACACACGTCAGGGCCGGGGCTCGGGGCGGCCCGGCCGCGGCACCGCTCGGCTGCGATCGGCCCGGCCCGGCCCGGATCCCCCGCGGGTTCGGAGCCCGGCCCGGCCCGGAGTTCCCGCAGTTCGCAGCCCGGCCCGGCCCGGGCGGTGCTGCCGCCGCCCCGCGCTCCCTCCGTGGGCCGGGCCGGCCCTTCCCAAGCTCGGCAGGCATGCTTGTCACGGGTTTGCAGCCTGATTATTAGAGATACCCACTCTCTTCGAGAACCTTACTATGAAAGCCGCTTTCCTACGAACCTTCCTATAAACAGCCGCTGTCACAGGTCTGTGGGACAGAGGAATGGCCTAACGGGGCTAGTTCAAGAGAGCAAGTATCACAAATGATCCAAGATTGGCCTCCGTACTTGCTTGCACCTCCCAAATCCAACTATTAAACTCACTTGGAGGGTCTGAAATGCATCTTAAATCAAGATGCAAAGCAGCTTTTTAGTCATGTTGTAGCACACAAAGCCCATTACCTAGGCCTCGGCTAAATGCTTTATTTACTCGACAAGATGCTGTGAGGATGTGATTAAATTTGGGACTTCAACAGGTGTATCTGCAGCCTCTGAAGAGGATATTCTAACTCCACCATGATGGGAGAGACCCAAGCCATGTCAGCCATGCAAAATCTGAATACTATAAATCCTTACATTACAATTTTATAAAGTACTTTGTGTTTATATTTAAAAAACAAAAGGCAACAAAAGATAGACTGTATCATACTTGGTACAGTTAAAATTATGCTAGTAAGGTATTTTCAGTATTTTAGGGGTTTTTTATACTCTTATACTATATATGGCAATTCCTTGAATTCACTCTGAAGCTTCCCTGAAGCTTCAGAAGAAAAATCTGTGCTCTTGTAGAAGAATAGGGTTCATTAAAGCATGCATTTGAGTAAACCCTCAAAAATACAGAATTAGATAGACTTTGCAAACAGATTTAAGTAAAGGTAAGTCCATACTAAGTCTTGAAAGTATCCTTTACCACTTGGAAAAAAAAAGAAAAATCTTTTCTACCCTTTTTGTTTTACTGCCACAACATCCTTCTTTCAAGATCAAAAGCTTTAGATCAAAGCCAAGATCAAACTCAATGCTTTAAATAGAAGCAACTTCACTATGAACTATTAAACAAAGAAGAACTTTTTAACAGAGATATCACAGTAGAAAATCTTACTATAGCTTTTTATTTTGTACTCACAAGGTCTACTTGAAACTGAGTAACATATTTTTATTTTGTAAAGCCATGACAAATTTTTTACTATGATAATTCTGAAAGCTCCTATAACTTGACTCTTGAACTGAGTGCATTTGAATGAAGAAAGAACAGAGCATAGTTCAAAGAGAATGAACAAAATTACGAACAAAAAATGATGTTAATTGCAAACACAAATGAATGCAACTACTTAAACAGTATTTCCTTGGATCAGTTAACAAATTAGATTGAATATTCCCACAGAAGTAGTTATGGGAAACACTGAACCATAGAAACAATGAAACATATTTATACTTTAAATCCTTTAAAGAATTACACTTTCTTTCCTGTCAAATGTTTGAAGAAAACCAGGGAAAAAAATTACCAGAGACATTGATTGTCAGACCTGCAGACCCTGAAGCTGATTTGGGATGAAAATCCATAAACATACAAATATACTGTGTGTTAAACCCCAGAGGCAGCTCCTGTTTTCTTGTTAATAGCTGCAGAGTAGTGAAGGAAACTCAAGGGGAATTGTTACTGACTTTTTCTATTGGTAATATACCCTGTGGAGCCAACAGCTGGGGTTCCCTGGAGCTGGCTGCTGTGCACATCCTACCTGGGACGCTCAGCTACTGAGACGACAGCCCTGCAGCACAAGGTGAGAGCCAACATGCCAGTGCAGACACCTGCAGAGGGAAGAGGGCAGGGACAGAAACAGGGTGGGCCTAACAAGCTGCAGTCACACCACGCTGCTTGTGCAGTCAACTGTTCACTTATTTATGCTTCAATAAGATTTAGCTCATAACCAGACTAGGAAATTTTGCTGGGACTGGAAGAGAGAGCATGGAAGAGAGAGAGTAGATGAAGAGGAAAAGAAGAAGGGAGCTGGAAAAAAGGAGAGAAGGAGGGTAAGGGAGGTAGGGGGGAGAAGATTTTTTTAAGAACATTTTGTCTCCTACTGTATTCCTCTGTACTTCAAAAGCTTACTTACACCAGATAAAAGAGTGATGGTACACCCAGTTTAAAGTGAGAATGACTGCATTACCCTCTATCAACTGTCCTGTTGGTTGTCCACATGACACTGACTATCATACTTAAATCCCTTCACAATAGAAATTAAGAGATTAGTCCATCCTCTGTGTCCTTTTTCACTTGTGAAGACTTTGTTTCAGAGACTACTAATGGAGCTGTCCTGTATAACAGTTAAAACATGTCAAAGCACGCTAGGATCCTTCAGTCTTGCAACGTCAGGATTAAACATAAATTTTGAAAAATGGGGGGAGAAAGAAGCACTTTCTACCAATTGGGTGAAGGTAGGCCTAATATCCTGGTAAATAACTTAGGCAATGGTTTTCACCAGTTCCTCTTCAAGCCAGACCAGATCCCAAGCATAAAAGGAACTTTCAGAATTGTGCATAGCCTAGAAAACAATAGGAGATTTGTGCAACAGACAACTGTTTCATTTTACATTGAAACAGAAACCGGTTTTAAATTGTTCTGGCTGTGACGGCTAATGGAGATATTTCATAACTAAGTGAAAAATTATAATCATGCACTTTGCATATGTTGTCTATAACTTCAGTTCCTCTGTGCTGCTCTTATGCAAAGACAGTCAGTATTGATAAATCAAGAAGGTAGTTTTACCTAAGGTGAACATTGAATCAATACCATTTTAGGCTTTCCAACAGTCCTCAGATACTGGAAGGCAAAAAGAAAAAGATGAAAATGTGGAATAAAAATATTTACTGTAAATGAATTTCAGAAGAGCTCCTGCAAAGCAGAGGAAATTGATAACTAATGTATTTATTTTCCAACCTCTCACTTCTAGAGATATTATGTTCCCCTCAATTACTGAAATTTACACCACATATACACCCTGACATTTATATATTCAGATCTACATGGACATCAGCAAGAGCACAGAAAAGTTGTTTTCTCCTAGACGATGTAGCTAACTTCACCAGTTTACAAATTGCAATTTTGTACCTTTTTACATCTTCCCATTTAGCAGAAAACAAAAAATGGACTCCCTCCTAGTTTCATCCTACCATATTAGAATGATACAGCTTACTTTCTAAGGTTGATGCCATCATCTCTGCAATATCAGAAATGGATAATTTAAAGGCACTACGATAAAATGTAGGATATACAACTGTTTTCTTACCGCACAGATGATTTACTGGGAAAAAAAGAACACTAGTTAGAAAATTAGCTTACTTGGAGATTGAGAATATAATGTGCCCTCAGAACAGCCTGTATGACCTGAAAATTGTTTCAGCAGGAAAAACCTGGCTTCCAACCTTTTGTAAAAAGAAGTTCAGAAAATGGAAGTACAGAAAAGTATTTTATCCAGTAGCTCACTAGATGATCAAGTCTAGCTTGAAGCATTTGACTGAGAAAACAATTGTAAGGATTTTAAAACACTACTGTTACCAGAATTTGGCAGAGAAACTAAGCAAGTAGTAGGTTACATCTGAAAATGACAAGATGGTTGGTGCATCCACATTGCAAGAAACAGTAAATCTGCAGCAAATAAAAATTACTGAAAAAGAAATCCAGCCCAGAATGTTCTCCTGTAAGAACAGTGAGTTCTCCAACTGATTTTGTGCAGTTTTCATGTGTACAGCTTTATTCACTGAAATGGAAAATCAAGTTTTTCTGACATTATTCATTTTCTAAGAAAGATGGTCATGTTCTAAATGTTCTAATTCCTCCAAGAGTCACTGTGGCGATGTAAATACATTCTTTTCAGGTCAGCATGCTGATCTGATATTTTTCAACACAACATCCCTACAGTGAAATTCTGTTCAAGTCAAACTTCCCCTTCCTTAAAATATGTCTACCTCCAAGAGACAAAACCCTATTGAAACAATAGAATCATAAAATCAGCTGGGTTGGAAAAGACCTCTGAGATCATCAAGTCCAACCCCATTCCAACCCTGCCGTGGTTCCCAGACCATGGCACTGAAGCTACATGAAGGATGTACTCTCAGCACACTGCAACACGACTTTCACATACTATGGCAGAAATGTTTTTCAACATTTCTTCACATGCTTTGTGAAGAAAGTTACTATGTAAAGACGAATCACTGAATCCCCAGAACCACCTATTTAGTTGCAAGATCAGATTCATAATCTAATAAAGAAAGCATCTCTAACAACAATACCACAGGATCTCTAAATAATATGCTTATTACTAAATAATTGTATGTAGCATATATATGATATATAGCATATGATATATGATTTATGTATCATATAGGGTTATATTATCTATATTATGATAAAATATTATCTATACTGTGAGAATATGTTTAGAGTATGCTAAAATGGTCTCTTTGGTTTCTTCCTCTTCTAATTTCACTGGGTCCTCTCACTACCATACAGTTGCCTCTGGAGCAACTGGAAAAGTAGTTTGCTGGTTTACATTTAGACCTTTCTGCTTGAGAACTACTGCCACGTGCTCTGAATTTCCAACACAGTCCAGAGTACAAGTTACAACATCTTTCTCTAAAAGTAGCAAGATATAACTCTTTTTAATACAATCACATATGGACATAAACCCTCAGATTTTAGGTTGGCCCTGCACTCCGTAATGAATCAGCAGGTCACACTTTTTGGGTTAGCACTACAGAGGGATGCATGGACATCAGGTGCATAGTATGTGTTTTTACATGTGTGAAATACATCTTCCCCACATATTCACTCCTTCCAGTCCCAAACATGTCTTTCTAAAAGCCTAGAAAACAGGGAAATTTTCAAGGAAGTAAAATTTAGAGTGTTCTTTTAAAAACCCTAGACCACTGGGAACGGTAGGTGGCAACTTGTTTCTGTCACATAAAATTTCTACCTCAGCTTCAGGCCCAACTCTTTATCCTGCTGCACTAAAAAGATCTCAAATATTATTTCCTAGAGTAGCATTTGACTTTTCATTATTTCATAACCTTGTTCCGATGCAATACAACTACTTATAAGGAACCCCAAACTGGAGAGATTTCAGACATATCAAAGCCTACTCTTTCCTAATTAATACAGAAAAGCTGTTTTCTTGAAAAGTAGCATGAAAAATATTTTAAACCTTAATGGTTTGTTTCCATTGAGTAAAGAAAACAATGAGCAGGCTAAAAATTAATTGGTTGCTAACTTCTGTGCTTTTCTTTGGATGTTTTTACAAGCAACGAATTAAAATCAATGTTTATTGCTATGCAAGCCCAGCTGTGTCCTCATTAAGCAAGTCTACCTTCAACATTTCTGTAAAAAAGAGGGCCTGTCCTCCCTCCCTTTGCTATGTTTTCACCCCCTGCACATGTAGGTGGGAGAGTGGGAGCTTGGGAATGTGAACTCAATCCAGCATTGATCAGCCAGGCAGGAAACTGTTATTGTTCTTAGATACCAAACATAACTCCTTTCCAGTACGCAGAAGCTCAGCCATTCTGCACATAACACAGCTTTTGTGTTCAGCAATGCAATTAATAGGAAAAGGGAATGAAAATGACTGCCTGAGATTTATTAAACTTAAAAGAGATCCTAATGAACAAACACAAGGAATCCAGCCCACACTTACTGCAGAAATTGAACATTAGTTTCAAACGCACTTCAACGTCTCAACCAAGTTATTACTTGTGCAAATTTACTCTACTACTACAAGTACTTTATCTCTGAGCTGAACACACACGACACTGAAAGGCAGTCTGAAGAAAAACAGAATCACTTTTGTGAAAATCTGGCTTTTAACTGAAGAGGCAAGCCAATGTTTTAGCAGGTCATAAAACTAAATCCAGTAAAGTATCCTCCTCATCCTTAATGTAGACTCATGGTCCCAGCTGAGAATCTCAAAAGCTTTTTTTTTTCTTAATTATTCACTTCATAAATTGAGACTCCTAAATTAAGACTCCTAAAACTCTGTTTTGAGCTTCACTTTTGGAATTCAGAACAACAAAGGCACTAAAATGTTACAGCCAATACTTTCAACTCTAACATTTAAAAGTTACATTCAGCCTAGACACCAAGTTACTCAGTGCCCCCTGAGCATCTAATCTGAGGCAGCATGTTACCCCATTTTAGAATGTAATCACACAATACTTTGTAACAACACTATTCCGATCTCAAATGTCTGTGGTTTTCTCCTAAATCAGCAATCACGTGCAATGCAGAAGAAACTTAAATCAAACCTGCCAAAATGATAACAATACTTTAAATCACACCTGAACTTCAAGAGCTCTGTAACAAATTTGTGTCCTTACTAACACTTAATGATGTATCTTAATGATAAGCCATTTTCATGAACTTTTGAACTATTATACAAACAAAAATACACCACTGTTGTGTCTCATTCAGCAGTATCTTAACTGCAATTTACAGGAATGGCTAAATAAATTACAAGGCCATTTTATGCCAATAACCTTCTTTAGATAAATACAGAGCTATTTAAATAATAACAGACCTTACATCTTTTTTGACAGTTTGTTGCAAACAAAATTCTCTGTATCCTATGGTATATCTAGAAAACTTTCCGGTGGATAGTCTATCTTTTTCAGAGTCAACAACATACAGACTGAGTTTGTCTGTCTTGTTTATCTTCATGATTCATCTAACATTTATGCATGCTACAGTACTATATACATTGATTACAGTTTTATATTTTCCAAAATCTTTATTCTAAGAAAATGGGATGCAATGTTGTCAGTAGAACTGATAATCTCAGAAAAAACACAGCACTAATAACTCACATTCAAAAACTTCTTTCTTATTGTGCTTGCTATCACTACAGAAGACATTAAACAATTAATATTGTTGATCTTTGCTCATTTACATTTTTAACAACTTAAGAAAGATCTTTTAATCTTCCAGTCTGCAAACTTGCTAATACAAAAAAAATACCAATTTTCTTGAGTGGAAGTGCCTATTCATCAAAGTGTGGTTTCCATGTATAAGAACAAGTATATATGTTAAGGTAGCAGTTATGCTTTCTTCAGATTATTTCTCAAACAGAATTCAACCATCAGTTGAATCAGTTATATTCTCTGTGCTGGTATTAAAACACACACACAAAAATCTCCATGTTCAGATAAAAAAAGTAATCAAGTGGTAAGTATTTAATCAGCAGCCTGCTGTTCTTGGGACTAATACTTAATACTAATTTTGAAATTAATGTGAGATTCACTATTAAACGTTATTAAATACCAAAGAAAATGATACCTCTCATAGACCCTTCCCATTTTTTTCCCCAAATCACACACTTGAATGAGATTTACATACTTAGGAGGTCATTCCCACTACCAATGCCTACAAATTTACTGTATCTCAACAAACTGTATCTCAAGCAAGCATTTCACTTCTTTACTGTCTCATGTTGCCAACCACCAATATGTAGTTACTACGTACAACCCAAAAGAAAAACTTCAAGATAAGGCATGACTAGCAATGACAAGAAATATCAAGTGTTAACAACCCTAAGCCTTAAGTCATACTCTGATCCAATAAGAGCGATTTTTATGCAAGAAAAATTTTCTAGTACCCTCTATAAAACTGGAATGCCCAACTGGAGTTTAGTAAGAGCATTCTTTTGAAAAATATCTGAATGTGGTAACTGACCATAACTGCTACCCTGTGAAACATTCTCCTGTAGAGTCATCCCTTCATCCATATTTTTGTCTTAAAAAAGGGAAACAGGAAATCTATACAGCTTATAACTGGGGCAAAAGCCAGGACCCTTCTTAACAGCAAACTGCTTTATCAGAAATCATATTAAGTACTTGAGCTGCTGCTGTAATATCCTCCTAAAATTTATGAAACCACAGAAGTACTCAACTTGCATTGATTTAGAACTGTTCGTAAATTATATTTCAGTTTAAATTTTTAAACAGTTTTGCCATGAGTTTCCTCTCCAATCCATTTTTTCTTTGAGTAGGACAATCAGGGAATCACAGAATGGCTTGGGCTGAAAGGGATCTTAAGCATCATCTAGTTCCAACCCATGTGCCATGGGCAGGGCTACCTTCCACCAGACAGGCTGCTCAAATCCAAGAGCCAATCACATACAAACAAAACTCTTTATTTAAAATCATACCTGTTATAAATTCAGGTAATGATTTAAATAACATAATGTAATGAGAAGAACAAGACTCCAGAAGGGACTGTGAACTGGTATTTTATATTTACCTTTGGTATTCCAGAAGTCTCAAGCCAGTTCTGGAAGATACTTTCAACAGTTAACCCGGATCTTGGGAGGGGGGAAAAAAAATTAGAAGACATGCACAAAAATACCATTTTTTTTCCCATATACATAAAATAACCCTTCAGAAGCTAAGCAAACTCCCTAATTCCAAGTATTTGTTGTACTGCAGTGGTACTACATTCTTGGGTTTTTAATGAATAATACCATAACGGGTCACATGAGCAAATCAGGCAGATCAGGTTTTCTGTGCTCAAAACTCAAATGATAAATTCAGTGCTTATGAGGATTGACAGAGAAAGTGTTAGGTGGTAAACCACATTTATGGAACACGTGAAGTATGAACAGGTCCTCTGCTTCTCACCGAGTGGCTTTTTGGTTTCTTTACAGGGAAAAAAGTCTTAGGCAAGCACATTTATACTGAAACATTCAAAACCAGTAGTTTATTAAAGAAGCAGCCTAAATGTAAAGATAAAACACTAAATTAAATTAAATACAAACTTCCTCAAACTTTTAGGTTTTAAAAGGCACTGATGGATATTAATTCTCAAAGTTACCAAGTATCTAATAAACTCTAGCTTTGTCTTTTCTGCACTTTCTTTACATCCTGATAACATTCATAGTGAAATCACAGAAGAGTCTGGAGCTCCAACAAAAGGAAATAGTCTCTCATGATCAAGCCCTGTGAGACTGAAATAACCACATGCTAAGTATTTGCAAATTCAGACATCATATTTCCCCTTTTACTTTTGTAGCCAACTTCTGTTGCATTTACTTCAGCTCTGGTTGGAGACTTCCCAACTTGCAGGGAACTCAAACAAAAAGAAATTTAAAACAATTTTTTTTAAAAATGGCACTGTCCGTGCTGTGTGCCAGTGCTGGAGAAAGGGAGTTGGAGAAGCCCTCAATGAATGCAAATATTCTGAGAAGCAGAACAGATGTGTGTGGTCCTGTGTATGGCAAGGCTCATTCTCACACTTGCAGCTACTTTCACATGTGGAATGCAGACTCATAGCAAGCAAAACATTCATGGAAAGAACAACCATTTCAAAGCTCTGAATCAGGAAGGCAAAGCAACTCAATACAAATTTTTCTCTGATCACGTGATTCAAATAATTGCAGCAATCAAGCAGAAATGTTTCTACACAGCTAGGATTCTGAATTTTAAGGAAAACACCACTGTGCATGTTTGAATATATAAATAAATTTGTTACAGAAAACTTAACATGTATGTGATGCTTGTGTAGTGTTCCACATTCAAATAAATTATTAAACATCCAGGCTTGTTCCTTGATATTTATTCAAACTTATGAAATTTAGAGCATTTGACTGCTATATCCTTCGAAGTATAATTGCCTTCACCTTACCATCATGCTCTAAAAATTGGTTTCTAGTCTTAAGTTAGTTAGCTGAGTCCCTTCTACAGGGAATAGAGAAAAGGAAGAGTATTTCCAAACAGTTAATCAATGTACTTTCCTCAGAATAAGATGATGTTCTTGAGTTCTTTTTTCTGCCTGGTTACTAGAAAAAGTGCATACAGGACTAGCTTAAAACTGGGCACCAAAATTTTACACAGTTAAAGATGTAAATGTGGATTGTACCACTTATTCCGTCTCAAGTACTATAAGCAGAATAACAATTTTTTAAATTTGTTATTGCATGAATCAAAACAAATACAGCTCAGTGTTCTAATGCTGAAGTAGAACTAGGAGCTGGGGAAAATTCCCTTATCTGTGCATTTAGTTTGTCTTACCGAGGGATAAGAAAAACAGCCTCACAATACCAGGTAGTCCTTTTTCCTCCCTCCCCCAGAAGCTAAACTTACACTGTGAGATTTCCTCATGATAAAAAAACTCTGCAAAATAATCTCTGTTACATTTGCTATGCAGAGCATTTATGTAATACACCCCCTAATTTCAAAAACCAGCGTTTATGACACTGAGGGGAATCACACTGTTCTGCCACTACACTAACCCAGGCAGTAAACCACGAGACAGCTACTCAGCCTTTCCTAAAACTATCTTTTTTCCCAAGGGCAAAGACAACAGTGCTGCTGTTTCTCTGCCTGCAGCACCCCCAGTTTCAGCCAAACACCTGCCATATGACCATATGCAATCTTCTTTGTTTCTACTTGGACACACCTTTTTTTATTCTAACTTCAGACATTCTTGTTGGCACCTATCAAAAGAAACAACTTGGTTCAGCAGCTTACAGGCATCCACTATTTTTTTTTAATATATTAGTAATAAGCAGACCTGCTCTGAACCTCTTAAGAGTCAGTACTGAAGAACTGTGAAGATGTTGGAAAGCTTTCCACTAACTTGCTTGGCTTCAAAACAACCCCCAAAAATTTATCATAAACTATTGCTATTTCAAAAAAAACCATGGTAGGAAAGGACAGATGGCCTGGTATTTGTAGAGGTTGCAGTTCAGTGAGGGCACTTACCACCCACTTAGGTTGCAGTTAAGCATCTGTAAGGGCTTAAATGTGGTGTTTGTGTGAATTTCTGGATGGGATTCTGTTTAAGGTTCTGCACTGGACTGTGGGATCTGGGTTCCATTGTTCAGGTTCTTCACTGCTTCCTACTTCAGTTTCCTGCTGTCAAATGAGAATGGGTTTACATCCATTATCTCCTCCCTTGTCTATTTGTTTAGATGATAAGCCAATCAGCCTAGGAATTATTTCCTGACATGCATACATACAGTTCATGGTCAGATTCAATGCTTCAGAGCAAGGTCTGTAAAACACTAACATTAACGATAACTTGAAAATGAGTGTTTAAAAAGATGTCTATATATCAAGTTTTCATTGCACAAGGCCCCAGGGGACTCTACAAACTTCAGTATAAACACACTTACTTCCTAAATCAAGAGGAAGAAACCATGAAAGTGTGAAAATTTTTTTTTTATGTAAAGGAGGATAGAAGAGTCTGCCATATCCAACTGAAATATATAGCTGAGTAGTTTGAAATTGATGCATTATTTCAGTACTTAATCGACAAATTATGAAGACATCCAAGGAATGTGGTTAGTGAGCCTGGGTTATTAACAGTACAAATAGTAGAGCTGTACCACAAGCCTTCCTTTGTCTATCACATACTATTAAAAGCATAGCTTAGTAGTAGACTTGTTTATTTTATTGAATGAAATGAAATAAAAACTATGAGCAGAAAACTCCAAAGACCAGAACTGACCTGCTCAAAAAAAATCTGCAGTCATAAAGTAGCTGCACAAGCAGCAACTCTTTAGAGATTTAAAGATTTATCTGAGACTAGTGAAGCTCCCCCTCTGTTCCAGGGGTAAATATTGAGCCTTGGCCCAGCTCATGTGCTGGGCAGATGCGCAGAGGATGAAGGTGCAGCACAGACTGTGGGTGTGAGCCTTGGGGAGAACAGAACCACCAGGAGCTTTATAAAACCTAGTGCACTGTATTATATAGACACACAGGAGGGGTTTGTTGGTGTCTGTTTTGGTTTGCTTGTTTTTTTCAATGTAGTGAAGTCTGAAATGATACACAAGCAAGTCAAATGCCTCAGTTACAGGTGGGAAGGTATTGCAGCTGTTCTGCAGAAGGGTCAAGGTAATGTGAGACTCCAGCCAGTGCATGGAATATTTTAAAAATCTTTCTAAACAGAGAAGGGTAATGATGAATCTCTGGTGTCCTTCTCAACAGTAGCCCTTCACACAGACAAATAATCTGCCTTAAAGGCAAGTTAAGAAATTATAAAGGCCCAGAAGGCAGTGCTTAGCCTGTCTGGTGGGAGCATTCAGTTGCAGCCCAGAACCAGAAGGATCCTCCTCCCAGGATGGATTCCTGCAGCCAGCATGCCATGATAATTGAATCAGAGCAGGAAGGGAAGGAGCCCTATTAACCAGGCACAAAAATCTCCTCCTCTGAATGCAGAAGGCAGCAAAAATCAGTGACTGCCCCTTAAAAAATTATGTCTGTATCTTGGAACTACTCATCACTGGGAATGTACTTTAAAATCTCCTTTAAATAAAAACTACAGGAATTAAGTACTGAAAGGTGAAAATCTTTTAGATGTAGCCTCTGTATCCAACAGTAGAGAGTGAGTTCGTGTTACATCACTGTAGTGTAATAATTACAGAAAATTTCCACACTCTTGCATGACCATTTTCCGTCAATATTCATCCTGTTCTCATTATAAACATCTCCCCTAAGCCAAGTTCTACTGCTAACTGCACTAGTTTCCCTCTGTTGCCACAGCTGAGGGCAGGATTTGGATTGATTATCTACTACACATTTATCTTTTTTTCTTTTTTTTTTTTTTTAATGATTAAGACCAGTCTCCATTACAAACTTCGGTGTCTTAGAGTGCTTAATATTTGTCAAATTTGCAGCATTTAGTTTAAATTTTTAAAATTTGCTTGGTAGAATTGCACAAGTCTGGAAGGTTTTGTGTGCTACAAAAAAGTTTGTTGCTCTAGTATGGAAATGCACTTCATTCCCACAACAAACTTTGTGTAAAAAAGAACTGATCAATAGATGATCTCTAAAAATATTTCATTTTCTCTTTCCTCCCTTTTCTTTTACCTCAGGTGAGTATTTCTGTACTAGGAACAGAATGCGTTTAAGAATGAAAAAACATCCTTGCAGCAGATAAGAAATAAAGGCCCTCTGTATATCCAGATATTCTATTATTCTTGCATTGCTGTTGAAATCTGCATCCAAGGTAATTTTGGTTCAGATATGCTACATATGTGACTATAAAATGAATTACCATAGATCTGAAATTTTGTTCATACATTCTGGAGTGTGATGGATCACAAATGGAGCCATACTTCTTTTGCATTAGTCTCACTGAAAGTTAAAATATACTAGCATGTGTATAGGCAGAAAATTGGATGCTTATGCAAATAACATTTTGCACCGGGTTTGGACTTCAGAGAAACATAAGAAAAAAGGAAGGAAAACGAGGTTTTTTAAACAAATTAATGTATAATCATACCACTAAAAAATCCACTTTTATATATATTCCATATAATATTCTTGCTTATATTTTGGCAGAAAATTATATTCAATTAGATAAACAAAGTATCATCCTTCAGTACATCACTGGAAAATGTAACACCACCCTAACTAAATTTAGAGTGTCACAAAACACATTTTCTCAATGACAATGAGCTTCTTTGTCCCTCAACCTTTAGGAACAGAAGTGTTTCACCAAAAACCTCAATACATTTGACTTCTATGAATTTCTTCTCTCCTTTTTTTTTCTCCAAACCACTCATCCAGAGTTATCACCACTTTTGGAATACTGGTCTTCAAAGTTACATTTTTCAAGTAAATACATTATTTTTAAAAAGTATAATACGTAAAGCTCCACTACAAAAGAATCTGTATTTGTAGCACAGTCTACAGGAGCACAGAACAAACCAACAGATAAGCAAGGATAGACTCCAAGTGCTGCTAAAGACAATCTGAGTCATATCTAACCAGCCACAGTCACACACAGGAGGATTCTGCAGGACGTGTCAGGCAATTAATGCTGGATTTCCATCTGTGTTTTCCATCTTTCCTCCCTGGATACACTGTATGACAGGGAGGAGATGGCACCAGACTACTTCTTGAGAAAAATGCATTTTCTCTGTTTTGCCAGATGCATAGCAAGGTTCTGGCACCCTTGCTCCTGGGGGCCACTTGCCAAAGGCAGCTGGCAGGCAGAGCAGAGGGTAATTTGGGTAGGCAGCTATGCCTAGAACTTCAGTTGCACAGTGAACACAGGACAGCACTTCTGACCTAACAGGCAAGTTGAAGGCACTGCTCAGGGAGAGCAGGCACAGCAATAAAACAGCAAGGCCCACAAGTTTTTGTGTCCATATGTATGGGAATTTTCAGAGAAACACACACTTGAAAAAAACAAACAGAACAATACTAAATGAAATCACTAAATGAAATCCCACTATTTCTGGCTGGCACAGCTGATATTTAAATCTGATTTTTACTTTTTTTTTTTTTTTTTTTTTTTTTGCTTTTCTAGCCCAGTTCTTACTTTTTTTGTTTAGGGATGTCTTCCAACAGCATGCAAAGGAAATCCTGGAAAAGGAACAAAGCACCACAGTTAGTATGCTTATGAAGATGTAACCCTGTGTCTGCATTGCTAGTGAGTAACATTTTCTTACAGACTGCAAATAAAAGAATGATAAGAAATAAATTTATATATTGCTATGGTGATATATTGCTCAGTTATTTATACAACATACATTATGTTTGGCAGTTTTCCAACCCACTCATGCAAAAAGTGTTAACACTGAAAGAAAATGGACTTGAAAAGCCTGCTGACTGTTTCAACACAATCCCACATTCCCACTTTTATCTACAATATGCACACACACACACAAACTACATTTAAAACTGTTAAAGGCAGCAGATTCACATACTCAAAGGTTAGGAAACACCAAAATTAAGGCTGTTTACATATTCTTCAGTGTGCTTATGTTATCACACTGTCTTCAATTATATAACTACATAAGGCTTTTTCTTCCTTAATGCCCATGCCTGACTAGAAGATCACACCTACTCCTCATTCCACAACAAAATCCACAACGTTGCTGATAACCACCTCAACTAATGAGTAAATTCTTCAAAGAAAAAACAACCAGAATTTCTTTCAGGTATTTACAAGGACATTTCAACGCCAATGGAAGAGCATTATTATCATCCTCACCAGTATGATAACCCCCTATAGAAAGTTATGCCTGACATCACTCAAAGGTTTTCTGGCACCCTGTGCTCTACATGACATAATTTTAATGACAATCACTTTGACAGAATACACTCCTTTGAATAATCTCATAATAATAGGCTTATTAATGTGCATCATTCATTTATATGCTGTTTCATAAATCAATACATCCACTTTATTAATACTAATCTTTGTGGATACAAGTTTCAGAGGCTGTTAATGTTCCCCACTGCAGTATATGAGTGCAGGCTGATTTCTGATTGTAAGTTGTTGCTCTTCAAGGCCTTGAAGAATGTTTCCTAAAAGGCAATCTTTTATTTAGAGACCTTGTCACAGCAGCCAACAAAAGATGCTGTTTCTCTGAGTGTGGCATTGTTAGGGAACCAAAGTAGAGAGTGACTGCACACTTGTAGTAGAGTTAAGCCTTCCTCCTTCAGATCATAAGTGAGAGTCAGGTCCTGGAGCAGTGGCTGCAAAATTGGCTTATGACAAAAAGTAAATTGCACAGTGCTGGGCTCAGTGTTGCTGCAGCCAGAGTGGCATCACTGACTGTGCCAAGAGTCCTTCTGTCCCAGCTCCAGTGCACTGCTGACACCATGAGCAAGTGTAACATTCCCTTATTTCATACTCCCACTTGAAGTTCCGTACCATTATTCTGTATGTAAACAGAGAATTCCTCCACTTGTGGAAGTTTTGTTGGAGGTACTGAGTAAGCTTACATGTAAATAAAGAAAATGAAAAGCTCATGATTAGAGTTGTTTGAAAAGTGTGTGAAAAGTAAAACCGCAGTGGACGTCCCTCACACCATTTGCTGTGTCTGTACATATTAATGCAGCATGATTCCCTGACTGGATTGTACGGACTTCTTATAATCAATCACATAGTATACTTAAAGATAGCTCTGGTATTAGAAATGGGTTTATATTCTGTATATTATACTATGAAATTAAACATCTTTGTGATTAAAGTTGTCTTCATTTTTCCAAATATCTAATAAGAATAATGTAGTAACCATCATTCTACACACTGTCTTAAAATTAGGATTAATCTGTCCTATCTTAACTGCTCCTATTTTGATGCTCCAAAACAGAGCAAGAAAACAAATTACCACTTACTCATCCTAGCATGGCTTTTAATATTTGACACATCTCATTATAGGTACGACTTTTCAATTGCTTATAATTTTGCCAAACTTTAACCATCTGGATTGCAATTTTATCCTCATGGTATTTTTTTCTTCCTCCTTAGACAAAATAGTTTAGCAGTGCCCAAGAGAAAACCCAGAGGGGAATGCAGGGGGTTTTAAGCTTTGATGCCATGTCCTAAGGACCCTACACTTTGAAGCAAAGACTTGGGGACAACCAGGGTAATCATAAATAAATTCTGGGTCAGATTATAAAACAAATTATAGTTTGTTCTTTGTTGCAAGTAATTCAGTGAAGGTAGAAAGAAAATATGAATTAGAAGTCATGTGCCACCCCAGTGCTGCAATAGGTACAAACTGGCTTATACTGATATGATCAAATCATCTCACTGCTCCTGTTATTCTTCCCTGGCTAGAGAACCAGAGGCTAGAAAACAACTTTTCCCTCTATAAAGAAAAGATTATTCTGCAGTTTCTGTAACTCTATTGACATTTGACCAAACTGAAAAAGCCTTAGAAAAATGAGTTCACACACGTTCACTGAGGATTTGCTGGCCTCTTATAATTAAATTCCCTAATGACTCTTGTCTGCTCTCACTACAGCCCTGACTGAAGCCTACAATTTTAATCACGACTACAACTTTGGGCTGCTGGGTAGGTCAAACCTGGAGAAGACTGTGAATTTGAGATCAAGGAGAAATTTTCTTTGCACTGTTAATGCCTGTACACATTTTGATATCAAATAAAGAACACTCAATATTAAAAGACAAATTATATCTTCATATGAAAATCTCAAATCTAGATATTTCAAATGCTCTACAGCCAACAGATACTTTAGTTTAAATTCTCTGACTGAAATATAAATGAGGTGCATAAAAGCAATGGAGATTTCATGACTAAAAGTGACACATCTAAATGGACATTCACGTGGCAACAAATAAACTCAGATTGCACTTACACCCAATTTCTTGCAGAAATTATCCACTCAAAGTTAAACTACCCCTAACAAATATGCAGTTTGTAAATTACATAACTAAATGGTAAATGTTAATTTATCCCCTCTGGGTGGAAAAATAAATAATGAGCACCATTTGTAGGTCCCTGTTTATTTGGAATTCCCTCCCTATTCATCTTCCTGGCTTTTATTTAACAAAATCAACAACATTTTTAAATCCTTCTGTTGGGGTTTTGGTGAGGAGCCCAGAATGCAGCTCCAAAGATGATAATTCCTACCAAAAGCAAGCTTGACTCCCCACCTATATGTTCAATTATCAGACAGCAATCCTTGGCCAGACAGCTCGAAAGTTTAAGCCACTGACTGGCTTCAGTCAAAATTAGGATTTGTTGCCTGTTATAAAAGACATAACTACATGAAAATTAAAGTCTGCAAACAATTCAATTCCCAAGATATTCCTATTTCAATATGAAGCAGAACAACAGCTTTAACTGTGTTAGGAGTATCAGTAACTCTCACTCCTTCCTTTTTAGTTACAGCAAATAACACTCCACTTATTATTTTAAAAGTTCATTCAAAGCAATTAGTAAGTGGATTCTCTCGTAGAAAGAAAACTGGAAGATTTTTTTTAAAATCCTTCTCAAAGATTCCAGACTTGCTTTACTCACCTATTGCTAACTCAATTAAAATAAACTACTATTAAAATCTTACTGAGCATGCAAACAAAACCAAGGAAAAAGGCAAACTGATAAACGTTTCACATCTGAAGTAATTTCCTTGCACCTGCAGCTCCCATCTAGGAAAATTACTACAAACACAACTGAAAACAAGACTAGTATTCATAACATGGGCAATGTTTCACTGGTTTTACTTTTCTTTATGCCCAGAATTCTGAAGCTGGAAACTTTTACCACTATTTCGGACAAGGTGAAAATACAGCACTATGATATTTAAACTTACCATTTTCACCTCTATTTATTTTAAATCTTTTATTCATTTAAACACTGACAGTATGTTTGTTCAAGAAGAAACTTGAACAAGAAATTTTGTACTAACTTGATTTTATTGCTTCTGCATTTGCAATTCTTGCTGTGATTCATTATCTACCTATACCAGACACTAATATAAACACAATCTTTAAGATTAGTAGTATAATTTGCTGAGACATTTTGCAGCATCCAAACAATGTACTGACAACTCATCTCACATCAACCAGGAGCAACAAGTTAACTTCTTGTCATCAAAATATGAGCACCTTCCTTACCACCAGATTAAAACCCTGGGCTGCTTTTGTTGTTAGCAGTTTCATGATTTCTGTAATTTTCAAAATTTTTCCATCTGTGAAATAGTGAAGCATCATTTTTATGATTTTGGACACCATAACGTAGATAAGACTCCTACAGTCCCTGGCATTTTCCACACTATGCCACATGTGGTTCAGGGTGCCAGTAACAGGCACAGGAAGAGCTGCATTAGTGTTCACCCCCCAGTGCCTCAAATGTTCCTCCACAGGGCAGAGCTGCTGTGCCTGACTCTTGGGTGACCTGACATATGAAAGAACTCCCAGGTCTGTGAGCTGCTTGTAAGATACATGGGCACACATCTCTCCCCACAAGAGTGAGATTCCAAACAGCCAGCATGCAAGCACAGGATCACTGTGGCTGGGAGACACAGCAAGTGTTGGACTCCAGTCCTGCAAAATCAGAGGCCTTTGCTCTGTGTTGCAAGGAGACATTTATCACCACCCAGAACATCCTCGAGGAATTGAACCATAACTCCATAAAAGACAGACCAGCAAAGAAACTGGTTTCAGAAATTCACTCATTCCCCTTCCCCTTTCTCTTCCTTTGCCTCTCATCACACTGCTCTTCCAGCAATGCTAAATATTTGTTGTGTCGTAGGTTTTGTTCCAGGACTGTTTTTAACCATATGAGTTCAGAGTCCTGGTTCACAGACACCCCCATGAGTGGTTGCTTTCACAGCATTACTTGCAGTGCTGTGGAACCAGCTGGATTCATCACCAATGACAGGATTCCTAGAACTTCGGGTTCACAGAGCTATGTAATTTCCTAAATCAAAACAAAACTAGAGCCAACAGTTACAGGACTTTTCCAGAAAGACCTAGAGGGAGGTAAATTTCTACCCATTTGGATTTGTCCTCATAAGAAGGACACTGAAATGACAAGCATTAAATGAAGCAGCATGCAGAGAGGAAGAAAAGTCAGAAATATAATTTTTCCTCTTTCAGAAACAGAGGATAATCTGGTAAAAGACTGACCGATCAAAAGCAAAACCCATTAGCTAAAAGATTATGGGAGACAATTCCAGTACGGTAAAATGACCCTATCTTTGATGTTAGTATCTATGAACATTGACCTTTCAATGTAGCAAGTTAAAACAAATCACCCATTGTTTATATTATCAGATACTAACAAGGTGTCTGATTTATGTATAACTGTCAAAAAAATGTCCTGTCCTCTAGCAGGCAGTAATTTCACCCATATTGCCAAATGACAATTGCCTCTCTCTGTACAGCACAACCAGAAGTGAAGGTTTAGAAAGTCAATCAAAAAGTTTGAGTCTTTTTTTTTTTTTCCAAAGGTGAAGCACAAGCCCAGACACAGTACCTGAGAAAGGACGAGCTGCCCGTGGAACTTATGGACAAATTTTCGCAAAGACAGAAGGAATGAGGCCTCTCCTGCTGTCCTTGCCAGAGATCTCAAAAGGAAATAACCCTGCAAGACATTAAGGCAGAAACAAACAGGAAATTATGAATTTGCTGATGTCCAGAAGACAGAAATCTTTATCACACTCATAAAGCAACTTCAATAAAAATCAACTGACAACACTCACCTTCAAATAGTGAACCTGCAAGAAGATTTTTTCTGCTTTAAGACCATATTTGACAACAGATGCTCCAGACTCACTCAATTCTCCTGTGCTCTCCTTGTTGGGCCTAAAATAGAAACACACTAATTAAGTTTTGGATAAGTAAGTAAAGAAGTAACTCACCCATTACTCATTCTAATAGTTGAAAGCATCGTAAATGGCACAGTAACTGCAGACACCTGTGATCAGTTCAGTCTTCTTTACCCTGAATATATAATTTGACTTAGTCAAACAAATGAATTTCCTACTAAATTAAATCCATCACTAGGGTGGTGTACTCTTTTCACAGCCAGCACGACATCAAGTTCAACGTCATTCTCCAGTGCAGACAAGTTATGAACAAAGAGAAACAAACAAACAAATGAGACATTTTAAGGGGAAGGGAAAAGGAAGGGGACAACAGTGAAGTCATTATGTTCAACTAGAGATTTCTCTTTATATACCTGATCAGTGGCCTAATAGCTTACATGACTATACTTGCAAGAATAACCTCTTTCATCGTATGCAACACTAAGATTTGCTGGTGCTGCCTTTCAGAGTTGCTGCCTGTTGAAAAGACACTCACCTATTTCCTTCTGACCTCTTTTTTCACAGGCATCTTATGACACGCTACTACAACATAATATCAAATTCCATAATAATAAGAAACATCAGGCTGGTAATCAGTTGGTTGAGTGGCTTTCACCTAGTCTAAACAAGTATTCATTTGCTGGATCAAAAGCTAATGGGATCAGCTGACAAGTTTTGGGCAGATTTTTCCAGCTGTCAGGAGAAAGCACAGAAAATCATATGATTGTCCAACAGGGAACAAAAAAGTAATTAAGAATAAGCTTATGCTTGGGAAGAGTGGGTTGACTGATTTTTTTTCCTGACATGACTGGTAAGAAGTAACAAACAATTATCATTTACTTTTAATATCTGGTACAAAAACACAGGTTTGAACCAGCCCAAGCTTCAGCACAGGCTCAAAACCCAGCTCGGCTTCAGTCCTGTCCCTTCAGGGTAAGGACTGAAATTTTCTGCCTTACATACCAGTTTTGGAAAGCACAAGGATATACTTTCAGAAGGATAAAGAAAATAAAAAAAAAAACCAAGTAAACATGCAAAGAGAGAACCTATTCAAGTCCACACTACAACAATAGTAGATAGTATTTATTTGTGACCGAAACCAGTAGAAAGTCCTTAAATGCAAGAAATGAGAGACACTAAAGAAGAAGAGATGGCCAGAATCACAAGCTGGAATCATGTGCCTCTCCTCAAGTGTTTATTAGAGGTATATTTTTTCAAATGAGAAATTATTTCCCACTCTTTTGTGTTAGCATTGAGAATACCACTACGCAAAAGGTAAGCAGGATTCTTCTTCAGAGACTTAAGTCTACTAACTGTCGAAGTCAATAGAAAGCTTAAGTTTCAATTTCAAAAGAAATCAATTCTTCCTGAGTTTCAATCTACAGGGGATTTTGACCCTTAGAAAAATTATTTTAAAAATTTACACAACAAAACATTCTATTAAAAATAACAGCTACATAATTAACACAAAAGACAACAAATGTGATTCCATACTTTCGAAAATGGAAAACATACATGCAGATAAGCCTCATATCACAAGAACCAATATTAAAAGAAAATTATATAAAACAAATCAAAACCCCAGCACCTGTCAAGCAGTCGTTGTGCTGGCAGCAGCTCTATGACAGCCAGGGATAAACCTTGCTTTTGTATTTACACTTGTCATCAAATTGCATACTTACAAATGTGTAAATTCATTTACTCTGCTTACACACAGGATAACACAATTCATCAATAAACACAAAGTAAACCAGACCAATGAAAGGCTACAGTTACAAAGTTGGTGATATGCTTTCAGATTACAGGAGGTCAAGGAGAAGAATTTCTATGCTGGTGAACAGTCTCTAGTGCCCAAAAGGCTTTCAGGTCCTACTGAGCAAGCACAAAAAGAAGGAAAGACCTTAAACGAATGAAATGGCAACAGTCTTTTAAAAACATTTAAAAGCTGATTACATAGAAGATGGGTATCAATTTGTTCTTCCACTTGGTGAAAGAAAAGAAGAAATCTACATAGTTTGAAATAAACAATATTTCAGCTGTGCTTTAGGAAGCAATTTTTAACTGTTAACACTAAGTTTAGCTGTCTTATTGAGACACTGAGACAGCTTGGCCCTCTGATGAAAACTTTTTTGTTGGAGCTTTCTAAGAACATGTCAGTAAAAACCCACTTGGGATGGTCTGTGTGTATGGTCTGTATTCCAGAGCAGGAAAATGGGCTCCATAATCTCTTGAAATTTGTCCGTATTTCTGGTCCCTGTTGGCCTAACTTGAACTGGGATTAGTAAGGTGTTTTTCTTGGTGGAAGGCTGTGGGGAGACGAGCAGTGGAGACTCAGCAGTTCCAGAGTCAGGCAGACACTCCAGATCAAAGGCTGTGGCAACTTTCCAAGCCACCAGTCACAGCTGCCCAGATTATTAATCACTGAGAAAGCAAGAATCTCTTTAGCTACCCGAAAAGCAGCCCTGATCTTAGCATCTGGTACCTAAAGACCAGAATCTATTTTCAATATCATTATTAGTAATTTCTAAAGAGAAAGTAGATTTATATAGTTCACTATGCTTTTTCCTTGTGTTTTAAAACTTCACTCAGGTTGGCAGTTAGATACCATGCTAATGTATGTGCTTGTCTCCAGCCACAGAAAATGAATCTGTTACAGCTTCCAACAGAGAACTTTGTTCAGGAAATGGCTTTTTTCCCCTGAATAGTGGCTCTTGTAAACTGCTTAGAGAGATTTCATATCAAACTAAATCCCATGGTTTCTGAAAGCTTTCTAAAACAAAGGGAGAAGCAATTGCATTACAGTCAAGATGAACAACCTAGTCAATTTAATTTGCATTTTATTTTTTCATTAGAAGGAAATAAGGAAACGCAGTGGATTTAATCAGATTGTTTGGATGTGTACCTTTTGAAGGGAGACAATGTGGAAAACAGGAGAGAGAGCACATGCAAGACAATGCTGTCATGCTGTTACCTCAAAACTTGAAGCTCTTCCTCAGAGTTCTGCACCTCATCCCTGAGGCGGTGCCAGCGAAGCAAAGCTTTCAGCTCCTGCTGCCCTTTTACCTCTTCATGGGAGAGCTGCTTGGGACACAAACACACACAGAGCACTGAGTGCTGCTTCCCAACACACAATAACAACCTTCAGAACAAGAAACTTGTTTTGTTTCTCTTTAATATTTAGAAGATGTATGAAACATACCAATATCAATTATTAAAAAAAAGGAAGAAAAAAAAAAGAGCCAAAAAATAATGGTTGCTGCTATGAGAGTTAACAGCACCACGAGGTAAAACAAAACCCTCACTGTGCACATCAAATCAACAGACTGTTAAATAGTTCTGACTGAGGAGAGAGATGAGCATGTTGATTTCCCTTTAGTGACTGGCAATGAATGAACTGAATATAGGTTGCCAGTATATATGCCAGTATAGGTACCTGGCATAGAGGATTTTATGGCATCTTTACCCAGCTTTAAAGCTCAGAGTTGCATTGTGTCCTGACTTCATTCCTCTTTCCTACTATTCCTGCTACACTTGTGAAAGCTCCCTGTGGTATTTTCCCCCATTTATGTAATATTAACAGAGATTCATACTTATGAAATAAATGCCAGGTTGTCAGCTGACAAATAAATACTAATTCATGTTTCTCTATTATAAGAATAGTTGTGAGATGAGAGAAAGTAAAAGCAGCTAAGACTACCCTGAATTACATTCAGTCACAACTGAAGTTACTGTCATGCACTATAGAACATACTCATAATCCTAAAATTGTATCATTGAATAGCTTCAAAACTACTCAACAATGTTTGAAAGGTGTCCCTTATACATAACAAGGGAACTCATCACACTGTTTTGTTGCTTACTCCTTTCCATTCAGCTACAAGGAAAGTGTCTACTACAATCAAAATGCTTTCAAGTGACTCACAAAAGTAAAGAATTAATGTGAACAGCACACAGCAGTGTAGTGATGCTCAATGCAAGGGTACAAATGAGTTTTGGAACCAAAATGGAAAAGCCACATGTTTGGACAGCCTCTCTTTCTTGTTTCAGGAATATGGTAAATGTCAAGGAATTCTGTTTTGTTTGGTGCTGTAAGTTGCCTGATACTTAATAACATGTAGGTTTGGAAGAGTGCATTGTGCTAGATTCCAGTTCAGCCTGCTCCTCCTCAGGTGGAAGCCTGCAGAGCTCAGGGGCAGAACCTGGCACAGCCACAGGAAGAAATGACTGACACACGAAATGGTCGAAGAAGCAGAGGTACTACAAAAGTAAGAATTGCACCAGAAAAACACTTCACAAGCTGACAGGCAACTTAAGAGCTTTTCACCTTAAGGCAGGTGACGATTTCTAAGCCTCTGACATGAGAGTAACTCTTGTTGGGCATGTAAGAGAAAAAAAAGTGAAGTTCCCTATTTTAAATCATCTTCCATTCTGCTTTGAGGTACACTTCTTGGCCATCTCTTGGACAAAACAGAACATTTTCATTATGTACCTGGAACATGCAGTAAGACTCTGTTGATTTTTCCAGCTTCAGGTACACCATATAAGTGGAAAGAATGCAGAGCCATTGTTTGATAGCTGAATTTTAATAACTGAGTAGTACATCTGTGGAAAGGTAATAACTGACAAACAGACATTTCCATTCTCGTTTGCACTGACGTCTGCCACCGTGAAGATTTGTGTTCAATGTGGATCACATTTTTTTAAATCAAGTTAGCATGCATATTCTAATATTATTTTAAAATACTTTTCTTCACAACAGAGGAGGTTTAATTTATCTCTAATGCATGCCAGGTATATAATTTTGATTTCCACGTTAATTCAATTTTGAAACAATGTACTATCACCTTACCTGTTGTGCCCTAGCCCAAAATACATCTTCTAAAAAAGTGGCAAAGCCTTCACTGATCCACTCTTCAGTCCAGTCCCGAGCACCAGTGGCCAGCCCAAACCAAGCATGAGCGATCTCATGGCACAGACGAGTTCCACAGAGATGGTTCCCTCCTGGCAGGACACTCTGGGACAGGAAGATGATGTGTGGGCTGCACAAAACCAGTGACAGAATACATTACTGACCTGTTACAACATGCATTGCATGGCCACCAAAATAAGGGAACCAAAGCATGGCCTGGATTGAAGGGATTTTAAAGATCATCAAGTCACAGCCCCCTCTGTGGACAGGGACACCTTTCACCACATCAGGTTGCTCAGAGCCCCATCCAACCTGGCCTTGAACAGACCAAGTGATGGGACACCCACAGCTTCTCTAGGAAACTGTTCCAGTGCCTCACTATCCTCACAGGGAAGCATTTTTTCTTATTATCTAATCTAAATCCATTCTCTTTCAGTTTGAAAGCGTTCCCCCACGTCCTGTCACTACATGCTCTTGTAACAAGTCCCTCTTCAGCTTTCCTGTAGGCTCCCTTCAGGTAGGCTCTATTAGCCTCTAAGCTTCTTATTAGTATATGCATGCTAGGTCATGACTCACAGTTTATAGCTCAAGCGTTTTTAGGAATTAAGTTGTACTTTCTTGTTGGTTGGCAGAGAATCAAACTAAAATTCCAAGCAGTTGCATTGCATTCAACCGTCAAACAGCTACTACCTGTAAGAAGTAACTGAAACCAAAGTTACTTTCAAACTACAAGACTGATTTATTTCATTAGAAACATTCATCACAGAGAGATGAGCAGGTGTGAATACAGGCAACAAGAATTCACCAGTTAAATGATCAAAGATGGAAATAAATAAAGCAGAAACATTTATTAAAAAAACAAATCACTATCACTATGTTACTGAAAGTAACAAGAGTAATGTAGAGTAAAACACATGTGCTTGTTGCTTGTTAAAGCCTATAACAAGCTAAGAAGATACCATCTCATGGTAACAGCTGGTCGTGTCTGCAAATGCAGAGGAAGAAGAACATGTTTTACCACAACCACTAAAGTGAGAAGATGTGAGTATCTGCTTTTCACAACACTGGGGGAACAATCCAATCTGTATCTACTCTGCTTTGGACTCAAATACTGTAAAAAGACATTGGGGGGAAAACTGTTATGAATTATCACTCTGCTATTGAAAACAGACTGAATTGCAAGTTACTGCAGTTCCATGTTCTACTGCAAGGCAGATTCTGCTATGCTTACAGACATCAGAGACCTTAACTTCTCAAAAGCTATAAAATTTCTAAAACTAACTATATCTAGGAAATAAAAGTAGCAGAATTAAGCCCTCTGACTAATGTGCAAGGTTATTAGTGCACTATGTCACAGATAGAGTAGCACGGTCACAAACCAAGAGGACCATCTGCAGAGTACTCCTGCACTAACCCACAGTGTCCACCATCTGCACTTCAACTCTTTTCTCACTTCCAGTCAGTTAGAAAGGAAATAAAGCACAGTAGTGATACCTTCAAGACCACATGTCTTTAAAACTTGGTTTTAAAGCATGGGAGGGGAGTGTGTGGCCTTAAGGCATTTCCAAGAGTCAAATATTATTCATCAGCATTCCAAAAAGCTTCCCCACCCGCCCTACCCTTCCGTTGGAAATGTTCAAACACCCACATTTTTCCTGCAACCAGTTGAATGTCTGGAACTGAGACCATAAAAGATGATATGCACTCATACTCAACAACCATCTCCTTATTAAAAAATCATAGTTACCCAGCCAAGCAAGTTAATACGTTTCAATCAGATGGTAGCGTAGGAAACAATGTAAGAAATTAAAGAACTAAATTGAGGAACCAAGTAACACAGAACGAAGTAAGAAAAAACAGCAGCTATCCAAATCTTTACCAAAACCAATTCTGATTAAGAGAAGGAAGGGAGGGAGAGAGAGATGGGGGGAAGGTGCAAACACAGAAGCTGCAGAACACGATTGATCTTTTATTATAAAACCTGTGATGAGAAGAATAACCACAACTTTGAGGACATTACTTCAGTCGGTCTTAAGTAAATGATCCCTCCCCTCACTGTGGCATGTGTACATGCTGCAAAGAAAAACTGCAGAAATAGACCAAGTAAATAACATTACAGACAAACTGCTGACAACATTTCCATTAAGGATGACAAAAGTAACTTCACACCTTATAAAAAGGGTCACTGAACAGTTGTACATTTTAAGTCTACAGCAGGTAAATATATAATAAAAGTAAAGACTCTATTTCCTGCTTTTTCCAATCACTTAAAAGACAGAAATGCTACAATTTTGAACAATATTCTCCTTTATATAGAAGGATTACAAATCATTTCAGTGAGAAAAATGTATAGGAGTTAAATTTTGGCCAAAGACTATGAGTACAGCTTCCTAAAAGGCCAAAAATTAGATTATGTGCTGCAGCAGAGTTTAATTTTAAAATCTGAGTACAGCCAGCAACCTCCTTTCCGGAGAACACCTTAAATGATTCCTTTTATTTTGTTTGCCCTTAAAAACCAGTTCTATCTCCAATTCAGAGCAGTGCAAAGTTCCCATTTGTCTTAAGACCAGTTTTATCAGACTGAACTGTCTCTGGAATATGTCCAGCGCCTATTAGTTTGGGGAAAAGTTTCACTCTGTGTATTTCTTTAAAACACAGATTCTCTATTTTCAATGCACGTTTGAACTTCAGAAACTCTGCTCTGCCTCTACTGATACCAACCAAATCTACATTTCTAACATCATCTAGGATGTGCAGTGTTCACAGAATCACAGAATGGCTTGGAGTGGAAAAGACCTTAAAGATCACATAGTTCCAACTCCTCTGCCAGGGGCAGGAACATCTTTGACTAGACCAGGTTGCTCAGTGCCCCAGCCAATGTGGCTTAAACACTCACAGGGATCTACAACTTCTCTGGGAAACCTATTCTAGTGCCTCACCACCCTCACAGGAAGGAGTTTTCACCCAATATCCAATGTAAACCTACTCTCTCTCAGTTTGAAGCCATTTCCCCTTGACCCGTCCTTACATGCCCATGTAGAAAATCCCCCTAGATCCTTCCTGTGGGCTCCTTTAAGGTACTGGAAGGCACCAATTAGGTCACCCTGAAAGGTTCTCCTTTCCAGGCTGAACAATCCCAATTCTCTCAGCCTTTCCTCATGGGGGAAGTGCTTTATCCCTCTAACCATCCTGGTGACCCTCCTCTGGACTCATTTGAACAGGTCAATGTGTTTGGGGAATGTTATGAATGTTACTAATTGCACAACACAACAGCGTTGTTCCTAAAAAAATAATTCAAGAAGATGTCTAAGTGAAAAATAAGATAATTGAAATGGTAATTAAATTGCAAGACTTTTTTTTTTATTGCAACTTTCTTGGTTTTTAACCAGAAGATAAATTTGGTCTTCCTACCATCTGTTTGATTTACTAGGAACAAGTTATAAGGCTTGATATCCATTTCTTTGATTTTAATTGAAAAGGAAAGAAATCCATTCATCCATAAGGAATGGACAAGGGTTCACCTCAGAAATTACATCAAGACCTGACGAGGTCTTTGCATCTTATAAATGCTTCTAGGAAGTTTCTACAGCAGGCCAGAACAGGCTGGCTGGATGTGGTAAGAAAGATGCAAAACCTCTCCTAGTTAACAAAAAAACAACCACCTCACCAGTCCTTGCCAGAAAGCTGGACAAGTTCCCAACAGCTCTTACAGAAAAGGAAGTTAATGACTTGTTTTCAACAAGTATACACTTGGTTACACTTCCACAGCAAAAGAGAATTATTCTGATGAGAATCACACACTCATAACTTAGATGTTTGCATTGCTGGGTTGGAAGAAGGAACAAGTTCCCTCCCCCACTTAAAATCCAGTTAAAGGAAATCTTGACACTGTAACTATGACATGAATACATATAAAGGAAAAACTGAGCCCTGAAGGAAAGAAATTGTTGGTGTGAAAGGCTAAAGAGTCCGGATGTTCCAATCATTCAAATCCACCCATGCAGATATTCTCAAGATATATAAGATATTTTTAATAGACCTTATTAAACCACTGACCTCGACCCACTGATTCAGCCTGTCCAGACCCCTGTGCAGAGCCTTCCTACCATCCACAGATCAACACTCCCACTCAACTTGGTGTTGTCTGCATATGAACAATCTGGTAGTAATGTAACTAATTCCTTCAAACAATTATACTCTCTCTTATACTCTCTCTTATACTCAGAGCACACACTTTGACAGGGGTAAGACAAGCACCTTTAATTGGGTTTTTACAAAAAATCACAACACAGCTTCTGTGTGGCTGATATCCTGCTGCACTCATATCCAATAAATTCTGCCTGTTCAAAATACTCTGACATGGGAAGCAAATCAAGAAGGAAACAGAGAATGTTGTATTTTCCGTGCAGACTTGGGTCTCCTGTCTGAGATTCAAGCACTGCCAGGAAACTAACCCAATCTCTAACAAAGTCATGAGGAACTAGAGGAGACAAGAACAACCAGCAGTCAAGAAACAACTGTGGAGGTGAGGAGTTATTCACCAGCTGACCCCTGATGCTCCCAGGACATCTAACAGCAGGTCTAGCTCACTGCTTTTCATCTTACACATTCTGTATCACTATGAAGAATTTGCAGGGCATGAACCTTTCCCATAACTCTCCAGATATTGTTTCCTAATGTCTTATGTAAGCACAGCAGTATCTATTCATTCAGAAACTTCCACAATCCCAGGATTTGTGACAGGCAGCAAATTGCCTGGTACTGTAAAGAGAAAGAAGCAAACACAGAAAATCATGCGGTGGGGGAAAAGAAAGAATTACGGATTCAAAACCTCAAGCTCCCATCAAGATTTTTTTAATACAGATTAGTTTGAAACCTCCCGCTTCCCAAAAAAACACAAAGTAATGCATTCTATTATAAAAATCAATTACACAATACCTCCTAGGAACAAATGGTTACAATAGTGCCAAAAATCTTACAGCCCGCTTTCCAAGAGAAACACCTGGAGGGACTACAGCTTTTCATGTTGTATAGCACAGAATGAATTTTTCATATTTAATTGATTATGGGTAAGTGCCAATACAACTACATCAATAAATATAAGCACCTGTTTAACTCAAAAAAACCCAA